GGTGTCTTTGTCTGGTTTTGGTATCAGGATTATGTTTGCTTCATAGAATAATTTAGGCAGTATGCCTTCCTTCTCTATCTTATGGAAGAGTTTAAACAGAATTAAGCAGGCTTGGTGTCAGTTCTTCTCTAAATGTTTGGTAGAATTGCCCAGTGAAGTCATCTGGTCCAGGACTTTTTTTTTGGGAGGTTTTTGATCACTGATTTAATCTCTTCACTTGTTATGGGTCTGTTAAGACTTTCTACTTGAGTCAGTTTGGGTAGGTTGTGTGCTTCTAAGAATTTGTCCATTTCACCTAGCTTATCCAGTTTGCCATACAGTTGTTCATAATATTCTCTCGTAATTCTCTGTTTCCATCGGGTCAGTTGTAATGTCCTGTTTCATTTTTTATTGTAGTTATTTGCATCTTTTCTTTTGTCTGTCTAGCTAAAAGTTTGTCAATTTTACTGATCTTTTCAAAGAACCAACTTCTGGTTTTATTGGTTCTATTTTTCTGTTTTTGTTTTTATTTATTTCTGTTCTGACCTTTGTTATTTCTGTTCTTCTGGTAGGATTAGGCTTAGTTGCTCTTCTCTTTCTAGTTCCTGGAGTTGTTGAGTTAGGCTGTTAATTTGAGATCTTTCTTATTTTTTATACAGGCATTTATTGCTCTAAGTTTCCCTCTGCCTTTGCTGCATCCCAAAAGTTTTGGTATGTTCATTTTCGTTTGACTAAGAAATTTTGTGATTTCTTCCTTGACCCATTGGTAGTTTAATAGTGTGTTGTTTAACTTCCATGTTCATATATTTTCCAGTTTTTTTTCTGTTACTGATTTCTAGCTTCACTCCGTTGTGGTCAGAGAAAATGCTTTGTATGATTTCAGTCTTTTAAAATTTATCAAGACTTGCTTTATGATCTATGCTTTGTGATGTGCTAAAATGTGGTCTATCCTGGAGAATGATCCATGTGCACTGGAGTAGGATGTTTATTGTGCTGTTTTTGGGTGAAGTGTTCTATATATGTCTGTTAAGTCTAGTTGATTTATAGTGTCATTCAGGTCCTCTGTTTCTTATTGATCATTTTTCTAGGTATTCTCTCCAATATTGAAAGTGGTGTATTCCCACTATTACTGTAGTACTGTCTACTTTTTCCTTCAATTCTATCAGTGTTTTCTTTACATATTTAGGTCCCCGATGTTGGGTGCATATATATTTATGATTGTTAAATCTTGATTAATTGACCCAATTGTATTTCTCATTTCAGTTGTTTTTCCTTTCAGCTGCAATATCTCTGTTTTTAGATACTCATTTTGTTCTTGCATTGTTTTCCTTATTTCTTTTAGCTCTTTGTCTGTGTTTTCCCTTAATTCTTTAGTTATGTTTAATGTTGTTGTATTCTTCCTTTTTTTTTTTCATTACTTGGTCATCCCAGATGCACTTTCACTCCCTTTGTCATGTTCATTTGGATCGGCCATTGTTTCTCTAGTCTTTGCATGTCTTGTGATTTTTTGTTCGGGCATTGGAATTTTTGAGGGTGTTAACTTTCTCAGTTTTCCCTCGTATTTGGTGTTTTTGCCTACCCTACTTTCTGCAGGAAACAGTGGGCAGAGCCTTTGGCCTTTACTTACCATTTCCTATGCCTCTCTGTGACAGCTCCTTCTTCCTTCCTGGTTTAATTGGGATTCGAAAGTTCCAGATTTTGTTTTTCAACTTTCAATTTCTCCCAAACACATCAGAGAACACACTGGGTCAGTCTGTCCACCAGTGGGCACTGCCATTCAGGCGCAATATCAAGTAGTAATCAATCTGTCCACCAGGGGGCATGTTCCCCTCTCTCTGGTTATTACTCCCTTCCCTTATCTGTTTCTGTAGTCACATTTTCAGTCAGAAAACCCACACCCAGAGAGTTCCATCTGGGGCTAGGCGTTGCCCTCTAGTTTGGTGCAAAGTTTCCTTCCCTGCTCTGTGGAGGCTGCTTATATCTGAGCTGGCATTCAGGGGAAGCACAGGCAGACTTTCCTCCATTTCAGGAGGAGGAGGGGCTGGCACTCCCCGGAAGGACCTCTGAGAGACATCTTGTTGGTTTCAGGCCCAAGTGTCCCTGTGGTGGTTGGGAGAGCAGTCTCCACTTAGATGAACCACCTCCTGACTCCACTTAGGGAACCTTCTGTAGGAGTTTCTATCAGTCCAGCAGGTGACAGTTACTGGGTGGGGAAAGCGTAGTCACATTCTGAATGGATTCCCCCAGAGAAGTCTACCTTGTTACTGTCAGAGACTGTCCATAGTATATTGGCTGTGGGTATAGCCCCCACTCTAGATGCCCACTTCCTAGTATGCAGCAGCCTCAGTTAGCAGTCCTCAGCGCCACCTGTAAGGGGGAGCAGACACACCCAAACTGATCCCCAGGGAGGTCTGTCCTGTTGGTTTCAGAGACCTGAGCTATGCAGTACACAGGGAGGCAGGTAGAATGCTGACTGTGGGAGCAGAGTCCACTGCAGGGAACTTCTGTAGTAGTTTGCAACAGCCTGGCAACCGACAGTTACCAGGTGAGGGGAAGGGTGTCATGCTCTGGTCAGATCCCCATGGAGTTGTCAATGTAGCCTCCGCTGAAGACTCCGCCTTCCTGACACACAGCAGCCTCAGTCAGTAGTCTCCTGCTTCAACTGGAAGTGGGGTAGACCAACCCCAATTGACTCCTAGAGAAGTTCTGTTGGTTTCAGAGGACAGAGGTATGGGGTGCACAGGGAGGCAGGTAGAGTGCTGACTATGGGAGCAGACTCCCTACAGGGTCCTACTGTAGCCGTTCACAGCAGGCTTGCAGGTGACAGTGTCAGAGTAGGGGAGGAGTTGTCACTCTCCAAACAGACCTCCAGGGAGGTCTTCCTTGTTGCTGTCAGAGCCCTCCCTGTAGTATGTTGGCTGTGGGTGTAGCTTCCACTAAAGATGCCTGCTTCTTAGCACACAGCAGCCTCAGTCAGCAGTCTTCAGCACTGACCAAAATGGGGAGCAGACAGACCTGAACTGACTCCCTGGGAAGTCTGTCCTGTTGATTTTAGAGGCCCAAGCAATGAGGTACATAGGAAGGCCGGTAGAGTGTTTACTGTGGGAACAGACTCCACTGCATGGGCCTTCTGTAGCAATTTGCAGTAGGTTTGAAGCTGACAGTATCCAGGTAGGGGAGGTGCTGGCACACTCCAAATGGACCCCTGGGGAGGTCTGCTTTGTTGATTTTAGGGCAGAAGCTTGGGGTCCTGTCCCTCTGTACAGGCAGGGGCTATGGTGGTTAGGGAAGCAGGCTGTTTCTGGGGCCACTACCCCAGTTCATAGCAGCTGGCGGCCCATGTGGCTGGGGGAGACACAAGGACGGTGGAAGAAGCGATTTTCTACTTTGTGGACTCATTGTTGATTTGTTGATTCTTGCCAGTCTGCAGTTCCTTGCTGCTTTCTTCTACTCCCCGATTCAGAGTCCCTCAAAGCACTGTTTCCTAGTTGTATTTGTGGGGGAGGGTCAGAACAATGTTTTTTAATGCCACCATCTTCCCAGAATCCCTGGTTTCTCTTTAAGACAGAAAGGAGGAGGTGGGAAGTGATGGAGACAAGGGGGTGTCTTACCCGATGAGATAGAATTCCTTTTGTGCTACATAGAATACTTTTGGAATGGAAATAAAAAGTAGTCAATTAATATTTGCATACCTGCTATGCATAAGACATTGTTCTAGGGTATGTCCTCCAGGTTTTAGTCTAATAGCCGGTAGGAAGAATATATATGTGTATCTCTGAGTTACAAGGAGGACTGTGATGGTTCTATAAAGCAGGTAAACACAAGATGCTATCAAGGTTTAAAGGAGGGAGGGAGTGCTAGCATCTGCTTGGAGGAATTGGAGGCTTTCTGTAAGACGTGAGATTTGAGATGAGACTTCAATAATGGGTGGTACATAAGAGAGAATTTTCCAGACAGAAAATAGCATAAGCAAAAACACAGATGTAGGTAGTTATAGAAAATATTCTGAAAACACAAAGTCCTGTTTGACTAGACTAATGGTTCTAGACCTGGGGCTGTCAATAACAGCGCCTTCAGAGCTTTCAAAAAATACCCGTCTGGGCACTACCCTGGGAGTTCAGATATAATTGACTTTGGCTGAATGAAAACCTTAGGCTAGAACATGAGGCATAAGGAAAGGGAAGGAAGGCTGAAAAGGTAGACAGGGAATCTTGAGTGCCAAACTAAGGAATTTGTGCTTAATTCATAAGATAGTAAAGAGCTATTGGATGTGTATGAGAGGTCAGTTCATGTGATTAGAAGTGTGCCTAAGGAAGAGCTATTTAACAGTATTAATAAAGCGTTAAATCAGTATAGGACTGATTAAAGTGGATTAGGACTTTGGTAAGTGAGACCAATCAGGAGATACTACCAGTCCAGGCGAGAAGTAGAGCTGACCAGAACTAAGATGGTGAGATTGGAAAGGAAGAGATGAGTATAGAAGGCATAGTATAGGAAGAATCTGTAGAACCTGAATATGAAGAAAAGGAGAGGGATGAGTCAGAGGTTTTAAGATTGTAAAGTTTGAGATTTTAAGCCCAGTTGACCGGAAGAATGGAAGTGCCAGTTACTGAAATAGGGGAGTCAGGAAGAAAAACTGGCTTGGGAGAAAGACAATGGGCTCAGATTTGGAAATGATGCGTTTGGGGAGTCAGTGGGAAGACTAGATGGATATATCTAACAGGTACTTAAAAATGTATATCAGAGATTCTCGAGGCTCTGGAGCATTTCTTGGAGATAGAAAGCAAATGGCCCTAAACTACTGGCCCCTTGTATCTAATGATATCCCCAATTCCAGGCCTATAAACCTGGTACCTAGCGTAAGTATTTGAGTTGGATCAAGTTACTTTCCTAAAAGTATTGTAATATTATACGAGGCATATGGGTCATAAGAAGATTGAATCTGTGAGCTGTATTAAGAGACACCAGTGCAATATAGGAACTTATGTTTCACTCATATATCTTTGCTTTTCTCTTGGTAGAGAGATGGAGGAAAAAGTCACACTGCTTAATGCACCAACAAAGAGACCAAGGTAATGCTCAAGAGACTCTAGAAAATTAATTTATCCTGTTACCACTAGGGGGTCTTTCTTGGGTCTGTGCATTGTTTAATCCCAGTAGCCTGTGGCATCCTTTTAGGAGCCAATATCTGCTTAAATTTCAGATAGTCATTTCTGGGAAGAAGAAAGGTATCATTTCACTCTCACCCGAAAGTGGACATCATTACCATCATGAATGTTGAAAAGTGTAGGTGTAAAAATCAGACTGGAATCTGATCTGGGCCAGCTGTGATGAAGCCCTGAGGCAGGAATTGCAAAGCCTGCTATGGTAGAGGGTTGAAATAAGTTGTCAAGGAAGAACATACTTTCTCATACCATAATTGGCAGTTCCTCTCAGGGAAGAGGCTGGAAGCATTTTTCTCTGATTGGTTTTTATGTTAAATGTGCCTTTGTGTTGGGGGTTATTGACAGGTCAAGCACTGTGACTGAAGCGCCCATTGCCGTGGTAACATCGAGAACCAGTGAAGTCTATGTTTGGGGAGGTGGAAAATCCACTCCCCAGAAACTGGATGTCATCAAGAGTGGCTGTAGTGCCCGGCAGGTGTGTGCAGGGAATACCCACTTTGCTGTGGTCACAGTGGAGAAGGAACTGTACACCTGGGTGGTAAGTGAGAGCTGAGTACTTTGTATCAGTGTGATGAGCCTACTTGTTTACTTGGCCTAGGATCTCTGAGCATTGTGTTAATTGACCATGTGCTGTGAGAGTAGCAGCATGGGGTGATGGAATGTAAGCTTTTATGAGAGCAGGGATTTTGTCTCTTTAGGTTACTGATGTATCCTTAGTGCCAGTACATGCTAGTTCTCCTGTAAATATGTTTTAAATAAATGAATGAATAAGAGAAGCCCTAGGCTTGGACTCAGGAGACTGGACTCTCCCATTTACACCTGGCTAGTCTCAAATAAGTCACTTAACTACTCTGTTCTGTTACCATGAGGTTCAGAGCAATCAGCATCTGTGAAATGGTTTTTTAAATACATGAAGCACTATACCATGTCAGGAAAATTCTGAGACCTCCACCAGTGATTGAAGATGACTTGAGTAGAATTTTCCTTAACAAAAAGTGTTTCTATATATTGATCGACTGATTCTTTTTTCCTCATTGCAAAAGTATCATACTTGTAAAAAAGAAAAATGTGGAAAATACTGTAAAACAAAGAAAATTAAAATCACCTGTAATGGTACCACACAGCCATAACTACCATAAACATGTTCCCAGTCTTTTTCTGTATATACGTATGTATATTTCCTTTATAAAAATGGGATTGTAGTATATGGCCAATATACTCTTCACCCTGTTTTTTTAATTTACTGTTAGGCCCTGTGCATTTCTGCCATTAAATAGTCTTCTAATATCTGTCAGGGGCCCCAAGATCACCCCCAGGTTTGATGATTCATCAGGAGGACTCACAGAACTTAGTATATAGTCATACCGCCATGATTATTACACTGAAAGAATTAAAAAAAAATCAAACTCATTGCTGTCAAGTCATTTCCAACTCATAGTAACCCTATAGGACACAGTAGAACTGCCCCATGGGGTTTCCAAGGCTGTAATCTTTACGGAAGCAGACTGCCACATCTTTCTCCTGCGGAGTGGCTGGTGGGTTCGAACTGCTGACCTTTTGGTTAGCAGCTGAGCGCTTAACTACTGCACCACCAGGGTTCCTTACTGAAAGGATACACAGCAGAATTAGCAAAGGGAAAAGACACATGAGGCGAAGTCCAGAGGAAACCAGGCTCAAGCTTCCAAGAGTCCTCTCACAGTGGAGTCACACAGAACATTCTTAATTACTCCAGCAATGAGTTGTGACAGCGTGTGTGAAATGTTGTCTACCAGGGATGTTCATTAGACACTCAGCGCTTAAGGTTTTTATTGAGTGCCAATCACATAGGCACCCCTACCTAGCACATACCAACATCCCAGACTCTCAGAAGGAAAGCAGACGTCCAGCATACACCATTTTGTTTGTACAGTTTAGGTACAGTGAGTCACTCTTATCAGGAAATGGTGGGAACCCTTCTGAAATCTAAGTTCATAGACATCAGTCAAGGGTCAGCCTTGCAAGCAGGCCTTTATTAAGATAACAGTCCTCGGCCTATGTTAACTCTCCTATACAACATCATTATGCTTTTCTTTTGAAGAGCCCTACTGTTTCCCTAATCAGCTTTCTGCTAGTCTCCACAACTGTTATAAACCTATTCCATTCACTGCAAACTTCTGACCCTCCCCTCCCCTCTTCCTTTGCTTTTAACAATTGGCCTCACCTTTTTCCTCAACTTAAAATGGACACCGTTAAAGTGAGCTCCCTCAATTTGATACCAATGACCCTATACCCACACCTATCTTTTCTTCATCTTTTCCTTTCTTTCTGAGACTAGCCCCTCCCCAGGCCTTCTTAGAGACCTCACTTCATCAGTTCTACTCTTTCCCGCTATTCTCTGTCTTCATCTCTTTCTACTAGCTTCTTTCCATTTGCTTTTAAACTTACTCAGTCCTCTCACTTCTTAAAGAAACTGCCTCAGCATCTTGTTCTCTAGATTCCACTCTGTCTCTCACCTTCTTGAACCAGTTGCCTGTGTTTACTATTTCCTTATCTCCTACTCTCTCCTCAATTACCTACAGTGCAGCTTCCATCCCTGCCATTCCACTGAAACTGGTTTAGACAAATGACTTATAAATTGCTAAAATAAAACAGATACTTTTTTAGTCCTTACCTTGCCTGACCTTGGGCAGCATTTGACATAGTTGAGCACTCTGTCCTGGAAGCTTTGTCTTTCCTTGGCTTCCTTGACAGCATGTTCTCTTGGCCTTCCTCCTGTCTCTTTGGCTGTGCTTTCTCAAGCTCATTCCTTTACCTCTCCTTGTCTTAGACCCTTGGTTCTTCTCACCCTTCCTCTTCTCTCTAAGGGAGCTCATTTTGCCCAGTTGTTTCAGATTGTCTTCTTGAGGGCGGGGACTGTGTTTGTCTTATTCACTGCTTTATCACCAGTATGTGACAAAGTAGACCCTTACCTATTTAATGAATGAAAGAACAGTTCAGCCTCTTTTGTAGAATGTTGACTTGCTGGTACTTGCTAAAATCCTATCCCTTAAAGAATAAACCATGAGGGGAGAGTGGGGCTGCCAGAAGTGCAGTGGAATTAGTGCCTTAAAAAATATTTATATAAGGACTTGTAATTGAGTCATTGAATGGAAAGAATTACTTTATAAAATTGTTGAAACATCATTTTGGACTATTCCCATTGCTGTGTAGCAGCCTCTTTGATGTAGCCAGATTCATTATAACTGTTCCATGTTTCAAGGAAACCAAACAAAAAGCCAAACCGGTTGCCGTCAAGTTGATTCCGACTCATAGCGACCCTATAGGACAGAGTAGAACTGCCCCATAGGGTTTCCAAGGAGCAGCTGGTGGATTTGATCTGCTGACCTTTTGGTTAGCAGCCAAACGTTTAACCACAGTGCCACCAGGGCTTCATTCAAGGAAACGGGCCAAAATTTGTAAAACTCTAATAAGGATTTCCAAGAGGCTATACTCAAATTAGACTCTATAAAGAATTTTTCATCATCCTCCGTAATTAAATATATAGTTCACCTTAGAATTGAAAGAGAAAAACAAAATTGGGGATGTATCCTTTTAAGTCCTGGTAGATATCAATCTGGATATTCTTTTTAAATCTTCTTTACCTGTTGGCAGGGGTTTTATACTACCTACTACTAAAAGATTTAATCTCCTTACCAATTTTTCCTAATTTTTAAACTTCAAGCTGATTTTTTCATTATTTTTCTTCATAAGAAGTTATCTTGTAGATTAGATTTTGTATGAAAAGTTAAGGTAATACTTCACCAGATATCTTTATTTCACAGAACATGCAAGGGGGTACTAAACTCCACGGTCAGCTGGGCCATGGAGACAAAGCCTCCTATCGACAGCCAAAGCATGTGGAAAAGTTGCAAGGCAAAGCTATCCATCAGGTGTCCTGTGGTGATGATTTCACTGTCTGTGTGACAGGTAAGCCATCGGCAGGAAGCATGGAAATGCATTTAATGTGGGATGTTGTGCTTAATGCAGTACAGTTTTAGTTAGGATTTTACAACAAAAAGCAGCATTCAAAGAACCAAAAAACATTGCATAGTAATACACATTAATGACAACATGCCCAGTCTGCTGTAGTATTAAGGAATGATGAGCAAGGAGAGGGCAGGTGGATAACAGAAGAGTGGAATCAGGAGAAATGTGCTAAGTGTGCCGCAATTGAGGAAATTATCAGGAAAAATAAATAAATAATCTCACCACACAGTCAGGCTGTGGATAACACTAAATCAGGAATCAAGAGCTGAAATCTAGATATAGTCTTGTCAATACTTGCTTTATGATTTCTTGGTTCTTTTTTTGTCTATAAAATAGAGAAGGCCCAAGTAAAATTTTTAAGCCCCTTTAACATGATACTACTACTACTATTTTTTTTTAAACTGCTATTGTAATAGTACATGTGACCCCCGTAAATATAAACAATTCTTGATTTGCACGGTCTCTCCTTAGGATTTCTGTGATGTGATCATCTCACATGAGATTATTGGCTGGGGAGGCCTCATTCCAGCCCTGGCCAGCTTTCTGATTGGACAAAGTAAGTCAGTCCTTTGATAGGTTCTGTTTTCCTTCCTCCCACAGATGAGGGTCAGCTCTATGCCTTTGGATCAGATTATTATGGCTGCATGGGGGTGGACAAGGTTGCTGGCCCTGAAGTGCTGGAACCCATGCAGCTGAACTTCTTCCTCAACAATCCAGTGGAGCAGGTCTCCTGTGGAGATAATCATGTGGTGGTTTTGACACGAAACAAGGAAGTCTATTCTTGGGGCTGTGGCGAGTATGGTAAGTGTAGCCTTGTCTCTGTCCACTTATTCCCAGGTACATAGCCTGACTTCAGGCCTGTATGTATACAAACACAGCATGCAGCCTATATTTAAAGAGTGTTAATTCAGTAAAAGAAAATCTTAAAAACATTTTCATCGGGAAGAAGGCCCTTATTATAATGATTATCTTTCTTATGTATGTCTCAGGACGGCTGGGTTTGGATTCAGAAGAGGATTATTACACACCACAAAAGGTAAAATCAGAAGCAACTTCTTCCTAAAGCCTGTCTAGGTCACACTGACTTGAGTAATATGATCCTCTTTCCCTGACTCCTCATATCAAGGTATTTGTTTCTGAAATATTTCCTGTCTGTGAGACTGACAATCCAGGATTCCTGATTTAACACGATACGGTCTTATCATCTGACTAAATCATAGAAAGTTGAGAAAAAGTAAACAGCCACTGTGGATACTGTGGAATCACGTCTCATTCAGGGACAAGTGCTAAAGTCAGCATATACAGCGAAAAAGGTCACCCATAGCTAAATATACCCTGGAAATTCTTCAAGAAGATATTGAAAAGCAATATACTCTCTCTTAACCCAACACAGCTATTTTCCCCACCTGTTTCTTCAGTTGAACACCAGATGATGTAGTTGTTTGTGTTTAGGGGTCATATATGAAACATAATACCTAGTTACTCTCAGAACTGCAAGAGCTGGCACTATGAGAGGCTCATAGGAGCTGCAGCCCACTGAGGGAAGAGCATGGTCACATCTTTTGCCTCACACCCGTTCTAGGGCACAGGCTTACTCACTAGAAGATTGAGAATGTAATCATCTATACCATTTACTGTCAACAATTTTTATTTACATTTAAAAAATTAAATTATGTATTTATGGAGACCATCCTCAGTGGGATTCAAGGTTGTTCCTCTTCTCCCAAAAAAAGCTGTGGTAGAACATTTGAGATTTGAGGTTTTGGGTTTCAGAGATATCCATCTTTGCCTCATCTGTCTCCTTCCACCATTCTCCAGCTCTGCATAGTTAGCTGTGGAGGGATGGGAGCACCTGGATGCCCTGGCTGCTCCCTGAGTACTCTGTCACCTCACTTATAAAATGACCAGAGTAGAACCCCACAGGGCTACTGAGTTTCTTCTTTAACTGTCATGGAGCCTTCTGTCTCAGAGGACAAAATCAACAATGAATAGAAGCTTCTCCTTTCCCAACTTTTTCTAAGAAGTCTCCCAAAGTAAGATCTGTTAAAACAAACTTTAGCAGGGGCTGTGTAGTCGGCCTGGAACTGCCTTCTCTGACTTTACGGTTTAAAACTTGAGCTCTTTGTTGAAAACAGTAGCCTCTAAGCTCTGGGCAAATCTGAAGAGATTAGAGGAACCCTTACTTCTCTATAGTCTTTCTGCTGAATGCAGCACATCCCTTTTAAATGTATTTGAGTCCCCCCCCCCCCATATAAGTTATGTATTTGGGATTTTTTTTTTTTTTTTCTGATTTTTTTCTTGCAGGTGGATGTTCCCAAGGCATTGATTATTGTCTCAGTTCAATGTGGCTGTGATGGGACATTTCTGTTGACCCAGTCAGGCAAAGTGCTGGCCTGTGGACTCAATGAGTTGAACAAACTGGGCCTGAATCAGTGCATGTCTGGAATCATCAACCATGAAGTGAGTGCCCCGTTTGGTGTCCTAACCACATTGTCAGAACTTCTCTTGGTTGGAATTCTTTGGAATGCTATTATTGGTTAGTGATCATGGAATTTGAATTAAGAATGTAGTTATAATCTCACAGACATTATGTTCAACAAAAGAAGGCAGCCACAAAAGAATACATACTGTCAGATTCCATTTGTATGAAGTTTAAGAACAGGCAGAATTAACCTATAATGGTAGAAATCAGAATAATGGTTACTTCTGGGAGGAGGGGTATAGGTATAACTGAGAAGGGGTGGGTGGTGTCCTTCTAATATGATGGAAGTGGTCCATACCTTGATCTGGGTGGTGGTTTTACAGGTATATACTATAAAAAATTTTATCAAGCTGGATAGTATTTTACAGTATGCTAGTTATACTGCAATTAATGTTACAAAGAATGAAGTGATGGAATTCAGGTTCTGCCTTATCATTAAAATAGGTACTAGAAAATTAATGTTATGAAAAGAAACATATTTCCATCATCACTTCCCTGGAGAATTTTTTAGATTATTGCTCTCAAAGCACTGATCCTGTGCAGGTTTATTAAGTGTAATTCTCATTCTCCCCTTTCAAGGATGTCATGAATTTCACCACTGACATTAAGTCGTAGTTTCCTCTTTGTCATTTCTAAAGAATCAAGTTCAGAGACCAGTTTCCTGACTGAGTGAAAAAGACAAATTGTTAAGCAATCTCTGAAGAGCTCGGCTGCTAACCAAAAGGTCAGCAGTTCGAATCCACCAGCCGCTCCTTGGAACCCTATAGGGCAATTCTATTCTGTCCTCTAGGGTCGCTATGAGTCAGAATCGACTCAGTGGCAATGGATTTGGTTTTTGTTTTTCTGAAGTAGTGATTCTCAGTTGGGGGAATGAATACAAATTCAGCGTGGAGGCTGGGGATGGTGTCTGTAGTTTCAAAAGGCATATGCAGAGTTAGTAGTACTTTATTTGTGCTTTGTTACAATATTGGATTTGTTGTTAAATTTTAAACTTACATGAGAGGATGGGTTTTTTATGCTTATCCAAAGGGAACATGGGTTTTAACGAGGTGAGAAACACTGCCCATAGGTGAAATTAGATCACATTAAACTGGCTGCTTTGTGGACAGGAGCGCATCCTCGGTATTTTAACTCTGTCCTGCCCTTGTTAGGTATGCAGAATATGTAACTAAGACAAATGCCAATGATTCTATCCTTAAATAAATACCTTCTGGGATGGAATGTTCTTGTTTTGCATATCCTAATTCAGAACCTAAAACTTTTCACTGTCAGAAAGTCCCACTTCATATGCTAATAAACCCTCTGAGTCTATTTCTTCTTGTATTCTATTGGAGATGAAAAGCTACCTGACATCTTCTTAGTGACATGATGTATCTGAAAGGCCTTTTGGTCACCGTGACCCTTTCCCAGCCTAATTACACCTCCATTCTTTTTTTTTTTTTAACCATTCAGCTCCTTAGTATTTGCTAAGTAATAAGTATTTAAAATTATACGTAATAAAATGGAATATATGCAAATCATTTTTTATTTCTAATAAACACTGAAAGAATTAACAATCTTCAATTTAACAGAATGTAGAGTTGGACTTTCACAAATCGATAATTTGGCTAGTGGTTTTCCGCAACTGTATGGCATTTTTCACTTAACCCTTTTTTCTTTATGAAATGAGAAAATATACAGAAATGCAAATTACAGGCTTCTCTGCAATAAATGACACAAAGACGTATACTGCACTGGATCTTAATGATAACACTTGTCTCATGAAGAAGCAACGTTAAAGAAAGTAGCTAGAAATTTGAAAGAATGGAGTGAAAAAGGAGTGAAATAACTGTAAATGTTCTTCCACTTCAAAAATTGTCTTGACATCAGAGCCAGGAGGGACTGCCTCTCTATGACATCCTCGTCGTGTGTGACAGAAAGAGTTCAACATGCTTTACAAAATCCATTACATTTTAAGACCATTTCCAATATCTGCTACCATAAATCAAGAAACCCATTTATTCAGGGTTACTTATGGAGAATTAACCACACAGAAAATTTTAACAACTCCTTTTTCAAAAATTAAGGTACTTTATTGTACTTGGCATTCCTACACATAATGATGTGGGTTCAGAGACTGAAAGCATTAAGGAGATATAATTAAAATTCATGGGCTTAGACATAAAAAAAAAAGTTTAATATGTAGAATTCTCTGTAGCCAATATTCCAGAAAAATAAATCAGAATATAAACACAGTGTAATCTCCTTTGGATTTCTCCTTCTGTTTAAGTGGCATTATGTAGCATAGAAAATTGTTTGAAAACACTCGTATGTACTTACATAGCTTCAAAAACACATAAGCAAAAAATATGAAAAAAAAGGATCAAGAGAACTTTGGGCAGTTATCTGAGGTATTATGCATTAAGAACAAAAATCCATGAATTTCTCCATTCATCATGATTTCTAAAACCTATCTTCCTAATTTGGAAGGTAAATTTACTCAAGAGAAAAATGAACAGGTCAGCTACACTTTTACTGATAGGGTATAGCCATTATGCCAAAATTCAGCCATCAGCATACAACCTCATTTCCCATCTAAACTTAATCAAAATGTATTTTATTTTAAATGGGACGTAGAAGCAAAGTGCCAAGAATTAAAGTATAACCTTAAAGTTTTAATTTCACACCTCGAATTTTTTTTTAAAAAAGCAATAATTCCTAAAATCATGATAACATGATAAAGTAACTATATGGGAAAAAATGGACATTTAAGTCATTTCATTCTTAATATTATACAGTGAAAACAGATGTATAGTGAGAACAGCCTTCAGATAGCACATTTCATCAGGTACATTTAAAATAGTACACATGTTCACAAGCATGTAACTTAAATTTCACAATGGTTTATAAAATGGTACTTGAAAGATTTTGACCATATTTAAGGAAATAACAGTTTCGTCAAGAGGTGGTAAAGTATAATACATACTACAGTGTTAAAAATCTCATAGCTCCCTGTAGGAAAATCAGTAAAGATAACTTAATCTTTCTGGAAAGAAAAAAGTATTTAGCATTACAAATTTCAAGTGTAAATTTTATATATGAATTCAATAAGGAATACATTTAATCCTTGCAGTGCCCCATTAGTCATCATCTCTTTTGTGGAAAACAATAAAAATGATGTACTTTTTGAATATGTGTCCATTAAAACCAAAAAGTCAGTTTTTACTTTTTTCCTTTATTGACAGCTTTTGATGCATTTTTAGGTTTGGGTTCCCATAGGGCATTTTTTACAAATCTTGAAGCTGCACCTCTGTCCAGCTTGCCAGCCTTCTTCTTGTCTGTTATTTCCTTGACTCTGTTCATGTACACTCTGATTCTTCCCAGTTCATGCTTTACTGGATGTTCCTTAGGATTAACTCCCTGCGTTGCCAAATAAACCCAAAACATTGAATTTAATGTGTATGCAGAAACTAAATCCACTTTCGCTTGTTCAAGTGGATCCAGCTTCTGCAACAACTCATTTCTAGAAACAGACATCATAGTCTTCAGCATCTCATCCACAGCACCAATGGAATTCTCGAACGTTGATAAATATTCATGAATTTTTACTGGATAGTCTTCATTAATTTCTTCACCTGCCATTATGAGCAAGTGGTTGTAGGAGTTGACAAGTCCCAAGTCCCTGGTTCAAGTGTCAGCCTGGAAGCTTCTCCTGACTCGTGTAGCTGCAGAACCCAGGATTGGCAGGTGAGACGGCAGGCTGCTGGCTCCAGTCCCAAGAACCAGAGGTCAGATGATGATGGGCCACTTGCAGAATCCGCAGCAAGCAAAAGCCAGCAAGCTTTGCCAAAATGCCCTTATATAGTGGATGCAGGCCACATCCACAAGCATACTCCCCTTACAACTGATTGGCTGATCACATCAGTTCATATCATGGAGGTGATTACGTTACATAAGATAACTACATCATTACATAACTGCTAAACCACTGAGAATTATGGCCCAGCCAAGTTACCACACAATCTTAACCACCACAACTTTGGATCTAGATTAAAATAACCCAAGTGTAAAAAGGCATTTTGAGAGAAAGAAAGTTGGATATTGGATGATACCAAGAAAGTATTGGTAATTCTGTCAGCTATAATAATGGCATTACAGTTATATAAGAAAATGTCCCTATTATTTAAGGATGCATACTGAAGTACACAGGGGTAAAATTATATAATATTTTGAATTTACTTAAAAAAAAAAGCCTGCATGGACTAATTACACTTTTAGAGCAAAGATACAAACCTATGTACATTGTTTCTGTACTGAATTTGATAGCTAACTCACAAATTAACTTTTGGAATATGACTTGTTCATAAATTGGGGGATACTGAAATAGAAGGTATGTAGGCTGGAATACTTAAGCAACTCTATTACATCTCATTTCAATTTCAAATACAATTGAGGGTGAAGGGGAGATAGGTTACTGGGTGTTCACCTGATCTGCGATAGCTGCTGAACAAAGTTTATAAAAATAAGACAGAGCCTGTGGCCTCAAATGAAATTTGCATTACTAACTTTCCAACAAAGGCTGACATTCCAAAGTATCTATTTCAAAGATGTCACAAAGTTCCCTTTTTAAAAAAAATCCTGATTCCTTTCATCTTTACCTGGCCCTTATAAAACTGTTGTGTGCCATCAAGTTGATTCCGATATATAGAGACTCTATAGGACAAAGTGAAACTGCCCCACAGGATTCCCTAGGCTGTAAGCTTTACAGGTGCAAATTGCCAGGTTTTTCTCCCACAGAGCGGCTGTTGGGTGTGAACCGCCAACCGTTCCATAGCAGCTGAGTGCTTAACCGTTGTGCCACGAGGGCGCCTTATAAAAATGTACGCATGTGACAATAAGTAAATAAATAGACCGAGTTTAAAGTCAAATGAAAAACTAGGGGAAAATATCTAAAAGATTGATAGTACCTAACCAATAAAAGAAAGGAGTCCTGGATCTGTTTCTGTAAAGATTACAACCTAGAAAACCCTATGGGGCAGTTCCACTCTGTTCTACAGGGTCCCCATAAGTTGGAATTGGCTCGAGGGCACACAACAACCATATGGGCAAAGGTGAGGAGAACAGCCTCCCACTCACCATTAGTTGGAGTGTAAACTGATAATGGCAATTGTATAAGGCAGTTTGGCACTATATTTCAAAATTGTGTATGCACATAGTCTTTGACCCAGCAATTTACTTCTAGAAATGGACATACTCACACAAGATAATGTTCGAGGACCTCCACTGCAATACTCTTTTTTTTTTTTAAAAGAGTGGAACTCTTTAAGGAACAGTCTAAGTGCCCATTAATAGGACTGGCTAAATAAATTATATCCATTCAATAAAATACTCTGCAGTAGTTAAGAAGTATGAGGTAGAGCTTAGAAAGATTCCTAAAATATATTAAGCAAACAAAAGTTGAAGAACAACATGTGTAACACATCTCATTTGTTTTTAAGAAAAAACAGATACACGTACGCCTCCGTTTTTTTACATCATGACTCTTTGCTTTGTGTTTTACCTTGTTACAGGCATACCATGAAGTTCCCTACACAACCTCCTTTACCTTGGCCAAACAGTTGTCCTTTTATAAGATCAGAACCATTGCCCCAGGCAAGACTCACACAGCTGCTATTGATGGTGAGTTGATTTACAGCTGTATACACATGCCTTGCTAGCTCAGTCTTGTTTATTCTATCAAACATTGTCTCTTCTTAACAGTATATCCACTCTCCTGATCTCCCCCTAGCATCATCCAGTATTATTTCATTAACAAATTAGGTATTCAAGTACATGTTTTTGTTGATAATTATTATAAATGCAAAATAAATACATCCTTAATGAGAATGCCACAACTATAATTCCAGACACCTGTTGTCTCTAATTAGCACTTTCTGTGAGTGTTCTACATCATGTAGTACCCATTTTCCACACTGAAATGCAAAAGTGGAGAGAAAATGCAATATCGAGTCACCTGTTGGGTCTAATGGAAATCCTGGTGGTGCAGTGGTTAAGAACTTCAGTTGCTAACCAAAAGGTCGGCAGTTCGAATCCACCAGGCACTCCTTGGAAACCCTATGGGGCAGTTCTACTCTTTAGGGTCACTGTGAGTCGGAATTGACTCATTGGCAATGAGTTTTTATTGGGTCTAATTGTCATAGTTCTTAGATAACCTAGCTGCCCTAGGACTAGTACTGTGGGTTAGCTTTATGTTTGTACACTCCAGTAATCAGAAGCTAGTCCATGGAGCTCTGCATTGGTTGTTTTCCCTCTCTTCCTTGACCCATTTATGCCTGGTTGTTTTGCTTCTTTCTAAGAGCGAGGCCGGCTGCTGACCTTTGGCTGCAACAAGTGTGGGCAGCTGGGTGTTGGGAATTATAAGAAGCGTCTAGGAATCAACCTGTTGGGGGGACCCTTAGGTGGAAAGCAAGTGATCCGGGTCTCCTGCGGTGATGAGTTTACCATTGCTGCCACTGATGGTGAGTCTGTATACATCGTTTCAAGATTTCTGGGCAAATGGCTATGCTTTAATTCTTGGTTGGGAAAGAGATGGGTTGGTTTTTTGTATAGCTGGATCATAATTTACTTTTTTATTTGTATTATATTGGTGGCAGTTGTTATCATGCATATGGAGTTTCATTAACTTTTCATGTATTCAACGTAGTAATTTTTTTAAAGTCAGATTTCTGAATAATGGCAAGTTAATATTCTAAATCCCTACTTACTTAATTTTAACTTTTTTGGTAAAATCTTTCAAGAATTAGTAAATACTTTTATATATACCTTTGCCCAGCACTGAGTTCATCTTAGTAAATGTTGGCTGGGTGGCTGGAGAGAACATAATTTAACTTTGCTCCTTGGCTGAGGTTAGCTGCACTGCAGTGATGTCTTTAGGGACTCCTGAGGCTTGAAGGGCTATTTTCCTCTATGTTATATGTCTCTAAGATTTCTGAGATGGTCTAATTGATTTTTCTTCTCTCTTTTCTCTCATAGCTGTCTCTTCTCTGCATCATCTCTACCTATCACTGCTTCTCTTCTTTGCTGCCACTTTTGCTATCCTTCATTCCCTTCCCTCTTCAGCTTTCTTTTTCTCTTACCTCTTTCCTGTCTTCCTGCATCTTCTTCTGAACTCTACAATTTTTGTAGCCACTTCTTTCTTGTGACTGATGAACAGCAAATTACCTTTCATCTTATCTTATGATTCATTTCAGCTTTTTTTGTTGCTACCCATGCTCTGAGATGTCTTTGTTTTCTTCTGGTCTGTACCTATTGTGTACACATGAGGGGTGCTAGGGATAGTGTCAGGTAAGTGATCTGTTACCATATTTAATTAAGTTAATCAGCTTTCAAAGTGGCACATTAACCCTCTCTGCTAGCTCCCAAACAAGGGATTTTCAGGAGCAAACTATTTAGGTCAGACTTAGATCAAAGGAAACAGTACTTGGAAGGGGACAGAGTCAAGATGTCACTGAGGATTATATTTAGTGTGACAAGTCTTCCATAGCACTTTTTCTGACAGGCCCTCAGAGAGTTAGTGTTTCTTAAACAGATCTGTGTACTTCCTAAGTTAAACTTCAGAATGGGGCATTCTATGACTGGGCATATTACCTCTTGATAAATGTTCCTGTTTGCCCCTGAACTGTACTTGATAGCTTCATTCATGCAGCAAACATAAATAGAGTTTCTGCTCCAGGTCCTCTTTTAGGCTCTGGGAGTATAGTATGAGTCTGAAAAGCCCTTGTCCACAAGGAGCTCATAGTCTAGTAGAGTGCATATAAACAGACTAGTACAGGCAGGTGTATGATGTGTCATGATGGCCGTATCCAACTCCTCTAAGCTTTGGAGTGCCCCAGGGCTCAATCCTCTACTGCTCCACTATTTACCTTCACCCCCTAAGTCATCTCATTCCTTAAATCCTCTCTATACTCTGACAGCTTTATTTCACCTCCCCTGACCTCTAGACTCATTTACCAAACAGCTCCATGATTTGGATGTCTAAAGGTAGGAGGCTATAAAATATCTCAGTTTTCTCTAGTCAGTCCTGATTCATGCTTAATCATTAATAGTACCCTCTGTCATTCAAAAATGCCCTAATTTAGAAAGAAGTTCTAGGCATCTCAAGCAAGTTTAGTATATCCAAAATCAGACCTCTGGTTTTCTGCCCAGACCTGTTTCTCCTGTAGTCTTCCCATCTCAGTCAGTGGCAGCTCCATCCTATACCCCCCATCCCATCCATCAGCAAATCCTGTTCATTATCTTCAGAATATATCCAGCCACTTCTCACCATCTTCATCACTGCAACTGGTCCAGGTCTCCATCTCTTTCACCAGGTTATTGCATTTGCCTTAGCTGGTCTGCTTGCTTCCTTCCATCTTTGCTCCTCTGCTGTCTGTTTGCCATATGGCAGCCTGAGGGATCCTTTTAAATATCTTCTACCCAGTGGTTTTCTGTCTCAACCATTAAAGCCAAAATCATGACAATGGCCTGTATGGACCTATATGACAAGGAACCCAACCACCTCCTAACCTTTTCTACTGCCACTGTCCCCTCTCTTACTCTGCTCCAGCTGCAGGGGCCTCCTTGTTCCTTGTTCATGGCTACTCATGTTACCTATGCAGGACATTTGCACTTGCTGTTCTCTCTGCCTGGAAAGCTTTTCCCGTAGATATCCACACAGCTGTCTCCTCACTTGCAGGTCTCTGCTGAGGTGTCAAAAAGTACTTCTCTGGCTGCCCTGTCTAAAATAATGACACTCCACCAGACTCTCTAATTCCTTATTTCCACTTATTTTTCTTCACCATTTATCTTTCTTCGTAGCACTTTTCACTACTTGAATTAGTAGGTATTTATTTATGTATTGTCAGTTTCCTCCACCCACTAGAATGTCACTTCCACAAGGACAGGGACTTCGTTTTGTTCACTTCTCTATCCCTAGCACCTCAAACAGTGCCTGTCATGGAGTAGATGTCCAATAAATATTTGTTGAATGAGAGACCAAGACAAAGTTGTTGAATGAGTAAGCAAATGAATGAATGAATGAATGGCAGTACATAGGAGAAGTGGTCATTTTTACCCTGGTAGGATCAGAAAGAGTGTAGGCTTTATATAGTGGAATAAGCAACTTGCCCTTGTTAAGTATGTAGTGGGAAGTTTTTCTAGCTCTAGGGCATAAAGATGGGAAACACAAAGAGTTGGGAAGCCATTGTCCTTTTAAACTACCTGCTATTTATTTATTTATTTTTTTCCGTAGATAATCACATTTTTGCCTGGGGCAATGGTGGTAATGGCCGCCTGGCAATGACCCCCACTGAGAGACCACATGGCTCTGATATCTGTACCTCATGGCCTCGGCCTATTTTTGGATCTCTGCATCACGTCCCAGACCTATCTTGCCGTGGCTGGCACACCATTCTCATTGTTGGTAAGGATTTCATATGTGTGGGGTTGGGATGGCTTTCACAGAGGATAGACCCACACCTAGGGTATTGGTGGTCACATTCTTGGAAACAGAAGTGTCCTGAAGAAAAGAGACTGCTTCTGTAAGTCTTACAATGGTCAAGGATGCCATACCTAGTGGTAGGGACAGAACATTGTCATTTCTAGAACTTTGTTATCCACTATTGACCATTCTCTGACATAACTTTGAGCTCTGCCCCGCTTTCCATAGTATTTGTTACATCTTGTCCTCTGGTAATTATCTGAGTTCATGCTTTTGTGAGAAACATTTAGTACACCTTTAAAAAGAAACTAAATCATACTTTTTGCATGAAGACCACTTTGTTATGAACAAATTGTAAAGGCCTATATAAGGGTTAAGGAACCCGGGTTGCGCAGTGGTTAAAGCACTCAACTGCCAACCAAAAGGTCAGCAGTTCGAATCCACCAGCCACTCCAAGGGAGAAAGGTGTTGCAGTATGCTTCTGTAAAGATTTATAGCCTTGGAAACCCTATGGGGCTGTTCTACTCTGTCCTATAGGGTCAGACGGCAGTGGGTTGGTGTGGTTTGTTGTGTAAGGGTTTACAAGTCCATTGTTTTAGATCAGTGGTTCTCAACCTTGGCTGTACATTGGAATCCCGTGGGGAGTTTTAAAAAATCTCATTGCCCAGATCCAACCCCTAACCAATTCAGTCAGAGTCTCTGGGGTGGGACCTAGACATTGGTACTTTTTAAAGTTTCCCAGTGATTCCGGTGAACAGCCAAGGTGAAAAATTGCTGCTTTAGATAGTGAAGATAGTTCGAGTAGCTAGTGGTGCTTAGCCTATGATACTAATTTCTAAAACGGTAACTAATAATTATAAAATTATCTGGAGTCAGGGATAGCACTTATTTCCTCAATTATCTCTCTATGCTAGTTTGCTCACTTTTCCAGCCTTTATCTGTATACAGTGCTTACCTATTGAATGTTTTTCCTCAGAGAAAGTATTGAATTCTAAAACCATCCGTTCCAATAGCAGTGGCTTATCCATCGGAACTGGTAAGTAGCCATGTCTTAGGTACCAGTGGTTTCTTGAAGTGTGGGTCTTTGACTTGGATTCCATGCAGTCTCCAAAACTCAAAGGAAAATAGGAGATTTCTTTGGGAAATGAATACAGTGATTAAGAGGAAGGATCATATTTTGGTGGGTTTTGCAATCAGTTATGATTTTTACATTGTGATCAGAGGGAGAGTGCATCTCTCCCTCCCTGCATACGGAAGTAATTAAGTGGCTTGCCCCACATTGTAATGTGACTTATCTATTGTTCCTTTCCTTTTAATCCTAGGGGTTATGCATTCTCTCCACCCTTTACTTCCATGGTTTTCCCAGGGGAATTCTAGTCTACAAAAATAGTCATTCGTACAACAGGCCCTTGGAATTAAAACTCAGCTAAACTTTAACCGTTGTTAGAAAAATCAGGCCAAAGCTCTGATAATGTTCCTTTAATTGTTTTCTTCATGGCTGTCTGTTATTTGGAACCATGCCAGGAAACTGAATCTGTCTTCCTTTTTGTTTTTCTACCTGTCACAATCTCTGTAGGCCTTTGATGTTTCGGAACCTGGATTCTGATATTTTGTTGAATGAGAACAGTTAAAGAACCAGAACAGAAACAGATTAATTCCCCTAAAAGAAACAGTTGAAAGTCTGATCACACATTTTATTGGCTTGCTTGAATAGTCCATTATTCAGCATCTCTATTTGTGCATGTTAATATCTGACGCAAATGATAACACATCTTTCTGCTACGCACAGCTGTTCTCTTACAATTTTGTTTTGCAGGAATGGTATTTAAAGGAAAAACATAAGATTAAAAGCAAACATCCATTGGCAGGAAAATGTAAACTCTAAGAGCAGGGATTTTTGACTTTTTTTGCTCATTAATTTTATCTGCAGTACCTGGCACATGGTAACTGCTCAGTAAATATTTGTTGATGGAATTTGTTATAACCACCCAGTGGAGTATTATACAGCAGTGAAAATAAACATCTGCAAATATTTCCATAATGTAGAATGTGAAAAGCAATTTGCAGCAGACTACATGCCTTTTTATAAAGTTCGAAAATGAGCAAGATAAATAAGTTGTTTAAGGATACATAAATATGTGATAAAGTTAGGGGCTTTTTTAAGTAGAAATGTTAAATGCAAAGTTAATCAGAGCCTTTTCATCTGGGCGGGAGGCCAGAGAAGGAAGGAATTCATAAGGCAGATACAGTGATATAGGTAATGTTCTAGTTCAGCACTGTCTAATAGATCTTTCTGCAATAATGGAAATGTTTTATATCTGTGCTGTCCAGTATAGTAGCCACTAGCCACATATGACTATTGAGCACTTGAAAAGTAGCTAATGTGACTGAGGAATTGAATAACCACATATGGCTAGTGGATAGCACAGTTCTTGTTCTTCAGGTGGTAGAGCCGCATATGTTTATTTTATTGTTAGGCATCAAGACTTACATATATATTAAAAATAGTCTTATGTATATCTCAAATGTAACATAATTTTTAAAATCCATTTAAAACAGGCAAGCTTCAGAGCTTGTCTTGGCGTTTTCTGTTCTGCTGCTTCAGTAGGATCATAGTGTGGCACACTCTGTCCTCAATCCAGGATAGCAGGTGATTGCAAACAGTCCCTTACAGTTAACCTTAGATCATACCAGGCAGTTGTTTGTTTTTTAGTTTCGGCAAATTCAGTTTCTTAATGGTTTTCCTTTAGCCCATATTAAAATTCAGTTTCATTTCTTTACCACACATGAGCTAATCCATCTGGGTAACTTGAAATGTGCTGAATGATATGAAGGAACCAGCCATATTTTAAAAATTCATATAAATAGTCCTCAGAAAAAGAGTCCTGGTGACACAGGCTGCTAACTGAAAGGTCGGCAATTTGAACCGAACAGCCACTCCGCCGGAGAAAGATGGCGGCAGTCGGCCTGCATAAAAATTACAGCCTTGGAAACCCTGTGGGGCAATTCTTCTCTGTCCTATAGGGGCGCTATGAGTCAGAATTGACTTGACAGTAGCGAGTACTCAAAGCATTTAATCCTCACATAAATGTTGAAGAATTGACCACTTGGGTGTTTCTCCAGAAAGGGAGTTTTGGTGGTGAGTTTATTTGGCAACTTTCAAAGGTATTTGGCTCAAATGTTAAAGAGCTTTTTAGATAAGATGAATGTCTGTGGAGGATGCTGGACTCTGAATATGCCTGTTAAAGAAGTGAAGTATACATGCAAAAGCAGAGAGAATAGTGTACCCACCACCCAGCTTCAGCAGTTAGCAGCATATCTCTCATCTTGTTTCATCTGCTCTTTATCGCAGAAAGAACATTAGGCATATTGAATTTTGTTCCTGCATCATTTTACTCAAAATATAAATTTCATTTAAAGCACCATTTAAAAGATGATAATTTTGAAAGTGTAACTTTGGCCCTGCTGACACCTTGTTTTCAGACTTCTAGCTCCAGAACTGTGAGAATAAATTTTTGTTGTTTAACAAAAAAAAGCAGAGTAAGCATGGATGTTAGATTTGGTGAGTTGTGGCTAGGGCAGTTGTTCAATACTGCTTTAGAACACTGATAATCTGCTATGGATATAGGGATAAGTAAGTGTGGGAAGTAGAAGTGAATCATCATTATGAAGATATTAATATACAAATACCTTATGCTAAAAACTAAAAATTTAGCCCCACGTATCTGACTTGCACTGTTGCCATTCCACGTTATGCAATTCTAGGAACCTTTCCAAGGGTGCGAGTCCCTGGTTAGTGCATATGGTTAATGCTTTTGGCTGCTGACCTAAAGATTGGCAGTTCAAGTCCACCCAGAGGCACCTTGGAAGAAAGGCCTGGTGATCTACTTCGAAAAAACCAGCCATTAGAATATAGTTCTACTCTGACACTCATGAGGTCGCCCTGAGTCAGAATCAACTTGACAAAAACTGATTGGTTTTCCTGGGGTAGGTGGGACAAGAGGATGGTACATATTTCTTGTCTCATAGCAAAGCTCTCTCCCTCTGTGCTGTATATTTGTCAGTGGTTCAAAGCTCCAGCCCAGGAAGTGGCGGCGGTGGCGGTGAAGAAGAGGACAGTCGGCAGGAATCTGAAACTCCTGATCCAAGTAGAGGCTTCCGAGGAACAATGGAAGCAGACCGAGGAATGGAAGGTTTAATCAGTCCCACTGAGGCCATGGGGATCAGTAGTGGGGCCAGCAGCTCCTGTCCTGGCTGGCTTCGAAAGGTAATTGCTTTGGCAGAGGCAGGTTAGATAAAATATCAGGCCCTTTGCAAGGAGAAGAAAGGAGCTGTCAGGATCTCTTAGTTTCTTATGTCCTATTAAGCTATCTTGGAGCAGATGTCTAGTTTTCTGATTTCTGCCTGGAAATATTTCTACCAAGTATCCCATTTTTTCCTTCCCAACAAAATGATATATAAAATGTTCTCATACCCATATTACTTAAGTGAATATAAATTAATACAACCTTCCTTGAAGGCAGTTTTTGTATGTGAGCAAAGATTAAGCTTATAGATTTTTTACTGTAGTTTATAGAAGTGGAATATTGGGGCAGTTGAAATGCCTTACATCATGGAAATGGTTTAAGAAATTGAGGTGCAGACAGTAAAATGTTAGAGAGTATTTATTTATGTGGAAAGTTGTTCACAACATAGTGATATGCAGAAAAGGATGGAGTATCTGAGCAGTATGGTCTCTTTTTTTCTAGAAAATAATTGTAATGTATAGAAGCATGTCTACAAATCTGTATAGTATATTGAAAATTTTAACTGGTTATCTCTGAATGACAGAGTTACTGGTGGTTTTTATTGTTTTCTTTTGCCTATTTATATTTGTTCATTTTCTACAGTGAAATTTACAGTCTGTGAAATCTTAAATTTTTTACCAAAGAAAAAAAGTATGTTCCAGAAGGACTAAATTTGATAGTTATTTGAGGAGTATGAGAGGAGGAAACGGTGCACTGCTCTGTCTAGTTCCAGCCCCGGCCCTTAGCAGCCTGGCAGTCTCCCTCACTGCTACCATCTCAGAGCTTCCCACCTCGCTGAATATGTAGAACAAGTATGTTGGGGACACTCCAGACTGTGTTCTTGACTTTGAATTTGCATTTGCATCACTGTCAATCCTCTGAGGAGAGATGGCAAGTTGTCAGCAAATAGGGGTAGATAATGTTGTTAACCACAACAGTTCTGCCCACTAGAGGGTGCTGGTGGCATGACAGTGAAAGCTATAGCAAGAGAGAGAGAAGGGAACTTGAGAGAAAGTAAATTGCTGCAAACAGAACTGCTAAGATTCTTTCTCATGTACCTAGGAGCTGGAAAACGCAGAATTCATCCCCATGCCTGACAGCCCCTCTCCCCTGAGTGCAGCTTTTTCAGAATCTGAGAAAGATACCCTGCCCTATGAAGAGCTACAAGGACTCAAAGTGGCCTCTGAAGCTCCTTTGGAACACAAGCCTCCAGTAGTTGCCTGGGTAACTGAGCTTTTTGCCTTTGAATCACAACAAGGTAAACAGTTGCTGTGAGCTCAGCCCAGTTCTGGCCTCACTGTCAACTCCTGTGTCTTCATTGGTCTCCCTGCTGCCCTGCATCAACTCATTATACTGTCTTGTTCAGTAGTGCTTAAAGCCTCTCCCAAGGCTACACTGAGTTGCTTGGAAAGGTATTTACCCTTTCACATTTCTGACAGGCTAATGCCTTTCTACACCAGAGGATTGTCTTTCTCTTCTCTCTGCCTCAAAAATACCAAAACTGAAATTCCAAAATCCAGATTCAGTTTAGTAAGCATGACACTGCTAGATTGAGTAGAAGACTCTAAATATAAGTAAGTAGTAATTCTTGTTGTTGTCGTCTAGTGAGGGAGCAGCACGTGTACATCTAACCTTGATAGAAACCAAATTGTGGTCAATAAAACTGTAAGCCAGGGTCATCAAACTTTTTCTATAAAGGGTCACATAGTAATTATTGTAGGGTTTGCAGGCTGTACACTCTTTTTATGACTACTCAACTATGCCATTGTAGCACAAAAGTAGTCACAGGTAATAAGTAATGAATGAGTATGCCTATGTTTCAGTAAAACTGTATTTACAAAAACTCAGTAGGCTGGATTTTGCCCATCTCTGCTATAAGCAAAATACAGTAGAAGGAAGAAAGATCCAGACTGGGATCATTGAAAAGCTTTCCAGAAAAGGTAATAAAACCTGTGAAACTTTAAGGTGACTGTTTGAAGTCCTGTCAGTTAACCTTCTAGAATTGCTTTGGTCGCCCTGTTTACTGAACACCTCTCAAATCTCTTCTTAATTATGATCCACTCTATCTCCTGAATATTGACCCTGTGGATCACAGTGCCCTAACTTCAGTCAGAAGGACACAGTATCCTCACTGCATCAGAAGGACTTGTTCTAAACCAAATTACGCTTTTCCCCCACTTCAGCATTTTAAATGAGAGGATGTTAATGCACTTTAAAATTTTTCACGAAGTCCCCCAAAATCGATGATTATTGTTCTTAGCACATGGAGACTGAGGCACTGAGAGTTCCCTTGCCCTGTTATGTTAGAGTCAGCTGCTGTTGTAATCCTGGTGCTTTTGTTTCTTTTATATATACTTCCGTGTTTTATCTTGTTACTTTAAAAGTAAAATTTGAGTGTACTTGAAGGAAGTTTGGATTAGGGACCTGTGGGAATTGGGCAGGACCTCCTGCGATCTCTCTCTCTTGTCCCTGCAGCCTCCTCGGCTGACTCCTGCAGTAACTTGTGCTGGGAAGGGAACACCGCTGACACCCCCCACCTGTGCATGCAGCACTCTGCAGGTAGAGGTTGAGAGATTGCAGGGTTTGGTGTTAAAGTGTCTGGCTGAACAACAGAAGCTACAGCGAGAAAACCTCCAGATTTTTACCCAGCTCCAGAACAAGAAATTGGAGGGAGGGCAGCAGGTGAGAGCCTTAAAAAAATAATTCATTTTCTAAGTCTGTTTTGAGGAATCACAGAAAGAAAACACCAAGGGCTAAAAATAGGCTTATTTCTTTGTAGGTACTTACCTCTTAATGATATAACTTTTATAGTTAATCCCAGAACCCTTGGGCCTTGTTCAGGTGCCTGGATTGAGTTACTTTCATCACCCAACTTCTTCCATTGTTTTTTCTTTTACTTTTTAGTATGTAATATTTTAAATATTACAATACAGTGATCACCCATATATCTACCACCTAGATTCAATGGTTAACATGTTGCTATATTTGCTTCAAATATGTGTGTATATAAATATATACATTTTATTTATTTTACCGAACCATTTTAAATTATAAAAATCATGATACCAGGAAAGAAAAAACCCTTTGCCATCAAGTCGATTCCAGCTCACCCCTAAATACTTCATTATGCATCTACAAAAATAAAGACATTCTCTTGGATAACCACAACTCTTTTATCATATCTGAACAAATTAATACTAATAGTCTCAATTCTCACCCAATACCCAGTTAACATTCAAGTTTTCCCGCAGGGTCCAGAATCCAGTCAGGAACCCCACATTACATTTGATTATGTCTCAAGTCTTTTCAACTAGACAATTCCCACCACCACCACCAGTTTTGTTTAATATATTTTTATGATAATGAATTGTTGAAGCCAGGCCAGATATATAATAGATTGTCCCATATTCTGGATTTGTTTTGTTTTCTTGAGGTGTCAATTTGTTCTTCTGTCACCCTGTCTTTTCTGTAAACTGGAAGTTAGATTTAAAGGCTTGATTACATTCAAGTTTAACATTTTTGGTAAAAATACTTCACTACTTGCAATAATAATCATAATAATCAATTGCTCTATATAGAGTAAACTAGGAGTAAGGAAACAGAGTTCATCTGTTGGCTTTGTCATTTACCAACTGTATGTGTTTGGACAAATTACTTTGTTTCTTGAGCCCTGGTTTTTCAACCAGAAGAATAATACCCACTTTGTATGGTTGTTTTGAGGAATAACTGAAAGAATGTCTATGAAAGTACTTTGGAAAGGAGTATACGCACTTGAGGTAAATATGGGGTAATTGACAGCTGGAGCAGGCAGGAGAATTGTTTTGCCCAGGACTGCTCCAGTTTTAAATCCAAGAGTTCTGTATTTCAGAAAACCCTGTAGTCCTGGGCAAACCAAGACAGTTGGTCACCTTACCTGCAGCACATGTAAATGTGTGGACTTCATCTAAGGGTGTGATATAGAGCACCTCACAAGACTGTGGCTAGACGTTGGAATTGAAGATAATGTAGTCTTGACTGGCAAGACTGCTGTGTTTAGGTGGCGCTGTTATTAATGCGGAACTGTGTCTTATCTGGACAGGTGAGGATGCATTCCAAAGGAACTCAGACAGCAAAGGAAGAAATGGAAGTAGATCCAAAGCCTGACTTAGATTCGGATTCCTGGTGCCTCCTGGGAACAGACTCCTGTCGATCCAGCCTCTAGTCTCTTGAGCCTGTATAGCCCCAGGAAACTGGGGTCCAAAGAACTTCACAGCACACTTACCGAATGCAGAGAGCAGCTTTCCTGGCTTCGTTCACTTGCAGACAAGGAGCACAAGGCGGAGGCTCTGAAGCACTTTCCATGTACATGTGGAGAGTGGCATTGCCTTTTAGATAGGATCTAGGAGTGATTTTATTGTTTTGGAGAATAGAAGGGCCGCGTGGCCCTGGCTTTGTCCTCAGTGACTGCCATAGCAATAGCAGCTCTGTACCTCATCTGGTGATCCCACCTTTGAAGAGGAGACACAATGCTCACCTTAATTGCGCTGGTAGCAGCTTATATCCCATTTATCATTTTCACCATTAATTGGAAGCTGCCTTGGGAATTCAACACCAGGCATTGCACCTCTGAGTGGCGGAGGGACAAATGTAAAGCTGGGGTGGGCTGGAACCAGGTGTGGCCCATCCAGGGTCATCTGGACAGTGTTGAAGTGTGCTGAGCCCTCTCAGGAACTCTGAGCCCAGGAAAATATGTCTGGTGGAGTCAACCTAGGGCTTGTTTTCAGAAAGTTCAGTTACTTCGTGCAGCTAAATGCTTTAGGAGGAGAAGTGGGCTTAGATTGCTTTTCCTCTGAGGATTGATTGAAATGTTGTCAGTGAGAAGTAGAGAAGGACGGGCAGGTCCCTCCTCATCACACAGCTTCAGGTTGTGGCCGATGCAGTATGGGATTTCCTAGCTTTGGAAGATACCACTAAGAGATGAGGTGAAGAATTGAGTCAGTGGGGCAGTAGGAATGGCCCTAAGAGAAAATCACGAGAGGAGAGGAGGTCCTCCTTTAGCTGCCTCTGCTTGTACCTTGGAGAGGCCTAGAGTGACTCAGAGAAGGTTTGCACCTCTGCCTCCATGGTTCTTAGCGTTCTAATATTGACATCAGCAGCCCCAACCACTCCGTTTCTGTATGTCTAGTCAGTATTTTTCCCCTTTTGGTGTTTTATGAAGCCCGTATCATTGTAACTGGTGAATCTTTATCATCTTTCCTACTTGAGTGGCCCAAAGCAGGTACCAAACTCTGGGAGTCCCTGGAGTCTACCAGAACAGATAGAACCTGCCAAGTGAAAGGAATTGGCTGAGAGCTTACTTCTGATCTTGTACTCATTGTGTCCTTGTAGACAGGAGCAAACATGCCCAAAGAGAGAAATAGTATCCGAAAAGAACAAAACTTCACAGATAAAATTCTGAGCAAGCATTTGATGGTTTCTCTAAGGATGTAAGCTTTGTATTTCCACCTAGCCTTGTGAAATGCTCCTTTAGTAGTTTGGATTACAGGGGCTGCTTTGATGAGTCTCACATCCTTCTTCCCTACAAAAGCTAAATTTTCATTTTCCCTAAACCAAAAAATGAATGTTTGATATCTGTTTAGGGCTGTGAGAGGACCTGTGCAATGGAAATTTTGCCATTTCCCTTAACCCATTGGTGTAAAGGCTGCTGCTCGGGAAAACCCCATGCTGGGTATGGGCAACTCTGTTCAGTGGGATCTTTGGTATGATGTTCCCATTGTTTTCTCAATTCTGGGAAGCCTAGTACAACAGTACTAATGTAATCACTGAAGCTTGTTCTTGAAATAAGGGAAGGAGCCATCCCTGGATTAAAGTTACAAATTCTGAGGACTTGGGATTTGCTATAAACCCTAGCAGTGGGTTTTGGTTCATCATGTAAATGCAACTTTGATTTTTTTAAGGACTGACTGGCCTTTCATGTTCCTGTATCCCTCACCATCTCAGCAGGCCTGAGAGGCAGGGTCAGTTTGGGTGTTAATCATAGTATCGCTTCTGCCATGGGACTGAGGGACACAGGCATGTTGCTAAGACTGTGGGATGAAAGTGACAGTGAAGGGCCCAGAGCCCTGCTGTTGTTCTCGAGGGTGTCATTCCCTAGCAGTGGAACACTGTGGTTGTTTGTTCTGGCATGTTCTCTTAGGAAGTCTAGGTTTACTATTAATCTGGCTGAGAATTTAAGTTCTGTGCCTTAGAGACAATTTGCACTTTCCCGAATTGTGCCTGGGACAACTGTATGATTTTTCCCACCAAACAGCTATGCAAACAGAAACCAGTTCAGAGGTGGCAGGTATCCGTACATTGGATGAAGAATGAAAGGTAAGGCAGTGGAAGTGCCTTTGAATGATTTTCTGCTGCTAATTCCCTTTTACATATTCTCCCATGTTTCTTCTTCATGCAGTGCTAGGTGTTTTAAGTCTTCCAGTAGTATTGCTTTTGAGTTATAATATATCCTGAGTTACTCCTCTGCTCTGAGATTGTTGCTGAAGATCTAGCTTATTGTTAGCCAAATGTTTGAAAGGTTGAGGGTGGAGTGGTTTGGCGTTTCTGTTTTAAATAAACATTTAAACTCTCAACCAGTGCTATGCCTCAGTAAGCCTGCGCGTTGACCTTAGTCACTGGGCATAAAACGTCCAGATTCTAGGCCTTCGTGAATCTTCGATTCAGTGATTTTTTTATATAAATAAATAAATGTTCTTGTAACAGAAACAGTGCAAGAACACTTACACAGAAATAATTTTTGCTTCTTTCCCATTTCTTATTCTTGCCAGCAGAGTCATTTCTACTACCAAATATTTTTCCCTAAAAAAATAGCATTGAAAGTGCAGAGGGAGAAAAATATGAACCATTAAAAGAGAAAGGATCATTTCTTGTGCTTCTCAACTTCAGTTGGGCTTTCCCAAGTGATAATGCCAGTTTATGTTTATAGAACTGTTTTCCTTCAAAGAGGCTGAACTGTATTTGCTCTTCCTGGCATAGGACAGGAAACCCTGGTGGTGTAGTGGTTATGTGCCATAGCTGCTAACCAAATGCTTGGTAGTTCGAATCCACCAGGCGCTCCTTGGAAACTCTATGGGGCAGTTCTACTCTGTCCTGTAGGGTCGGTATGAGTCGGAATTGACTCCACGGCAACGGGTTTGTTTTTGTTTTTGGCATAGCACAACCAAGTCATAACTTTTCTTGACCTAGCATTTCACTAAAGTTGAAAGCAAAAGCTGCCTTAAACTCACATTTGCCATATATTCTGATATATTCATAATAGAACAATTCAGGAGTGAGGATATATTTTAAACAAATCCATTCATTCAAAAGAAGTATTATTCATAATCGTGTCTGGGCAAAGTGGGCTACAGTCAGGACTATGAGCCATGTTCCCTCCGGCCTTAAAGCCAAAGAGCATCTCTTGCTTCCGTGATTAACTATGGAAATAATCATGAACATTAGGGAGAATGTCACATCGCTGCTACCTCTGCCATTAAATACAAAACTCCACTGCTGTTAAGCGACAGTATGTCAGCACATCTGCATACACTGAAATGTTTCCATGTGAATTTCACCATGTATTCCCCATTGCTTAACCTTTTAAACTTTAAAATTTATGTTTACTTGCTCTAAATATTCTTGGACATAATATAAAGTATGGCTACTAACTAGCAGCATCTATTTCTCCGTTATCCGTTATCATTCTCTGTGCTATCCAGGAAGAGACTTAGATAGAAAAAAGGTCCTTACCACTTTCCAAAGACCTGATCAAGCTAAATTTGAAAGACTTATAGATATTTCTAATATAATCAAGGCCTAAACATTTAGAGATCAAAGGGAACACTAAGGTGTTGACTGTTGTCTTATTTCTCTAGCAACAGAGGAATTAGTAACTGCTTCCTTGTGTCTGTAGAAAGCACTCCCCACCCATACTTTTGTTCTCCCTGAGAGTCCTGATGATATCATGGATCCCAAACCCAGGTGTCTGAGGGGTGGGCAGATGAGTGAGTGATGTGGGCCAGGAGGGCCATGGCAATCTGGAGCGCTCCTGTCCTGTTAGAAGGAGCAGTTGATTCTGAACTGCACCCAACTGGTGCTATGCAGGGTAATTGGCCCAGTGTTTCCAGAGCTTCCAGTTTTTTAAGAGATGCTCCATATCCCAATTTGTAAATGTCAGATCATATTTTTAATGCTGTGCCAGCCAAATAAAACATATCTGTGGGGCAAAGCAAGGAGCCCTGGTGGCGCAGTGGTTAAAACACTTGGCTGCGAACCAAAAGCTCAGCAGTTGGGACCCACCAGCTGCTCCTTGGGAGAAAGATGTGGCACTCTGCTTCCATAAAGATTTACAACCCTGGGAACCTTATGGGTCCATTCTCCTCTGTCCTGTAGGGTCGCTACGAGTCATGAATTGACTCCGCAGCAACAGATTTGTTTTTTTTTGGTGGGGCAAAGCAGTCCACTTTGTGACCTTGGCCGTAACTCATTCTTGCCATCTATCAATCACTTTGGCCATCAAGTATGAAAGAAAGTGGTGCTTCACTGAACTTGCCTGGAGAATGGACATATTGGATTAAATATCCAGTGTATATGGAAGCACCAGAGGTTTCTTTAAGGGGCCAACCAAAGGGCCAGTATGTAATACCTCTATCCCTCTGGAACAAAAGAGCACAAAGCAATTCAGTAGATGCTCTTCTTTATATATGTATATCCCACCCCCTACCCCCTATCCCCAGCCTCATGTCCTGCAGCTTTGCTGCTAAATCCTTAAAGTCGCATTTCAAATTGGTCTGATCTGTTTGTTAGCCAGCCACTCAGCAAAGGGAAATGGAACAAGAGCAGGAGGCCATTTGTTGATGAGTAAAGTATGGCTTAGTTGTCTGTGATTCCTTTGCCCAGCTAAAGTTGGGTGGTTTTTCTCCAGTATTTTAAATAAACAATTTGAGTGATGCTCCCAGGATAATAATCCCACCAGTATTTCCTATCTGTTGTGCTAGCACCACTCCTGTCTGAACTGATGCTACCCCCTCAGATATTAACTTGTCACTTCTCCCATTCTGCAAGTCTAGGACTTACACATCTTATTTAATTTTAAATCCCTAAAACCCATTTATCAAGGACCTAATTAGAAAGGTTGCATGCACTAGGCACTATTATACACAGAGAACATTAAAAAGATCTGGTCCTTTTCCCTTCAAAGTTTACTGTGGTATAATTGGCAGGGACATGTGACACTGTGCAGTGTCCCAGCTTGCTTTGATGATGGGATTTTGCTACCTCATTTAAAAAGCCATTCAGTCAACATGATCTAAAGGCAGTGCTAGCAATAGCTGAAGGTAAGGGTTTCTTTTTTTTTTACACATGAAACCCATTAGAAAAGAACAACTACAGAAGGTATAGTGTGCTTTCCCACCATCCCTTCCCTGTAAAGTACATAAAGATGAGGTACCCGTCATTACAAAGTATATCATAGGGAAGGTTTAGGATATGCTGGTGCCGTTACCTTACTTTCATTGGCTTTTGGCCAGGACCATGCACCAGGGAGGCTGAGGATAGACTTCCATTAATAATGCCTTATGGTAAAATCTTACACTTCTTTTATAAGAGATGCCATCTGGATGACCTGATCCTCTGACACCAACTCATCCTAATAAGCCATCTTGCAGGAGCAAAAAGAGTTAATCAGAACCACAGGCATAGAGGCAGAGGCAGAGGCAAGAAGGCACAACCAAATGCAGGCACTTCACAAGCACAAACCACAAGCCAGGCTTGCAAGAGAAGAGCTTTAATATGGGCTGCTCACTACTCAGGTGTCTTCACCCATCATCAGTTCTTGGGGAAATAACACAAGGCACACCAGCCTGGGTGGTAATTTAGTGGGAAGCTGGGGCTTCCTTCAGCCTCTGTGCTTAACAGTGGGATCTCTCTTCACTGATTTCAGCTCTGCAGGCAGATCTGGGAGATGTAAAAGTTTTGTTTCTGCTTTGCGTCAAATTACTTTCCTCCTATTTACTGCTGAAGAGAAGCAGAGCCTTCTGCACTATCCAAGGAGGTTTCCACTGTTGTCTGCTCAACTGTAATGCTTCCTTGGAGGCGGAGGACGGTTCTTGACGGTCTTACATTTGGGAATGTGTCGCTCAGCCACTTTGGGAGCAAAGTGGCGGCTACAGTGAGGACACTGAATATAGTCTGGATTTTCTGCAGGCAAGATGGGGGGCAAGTCTGAGGGGTTTCCACCTTTGGCAATTACCTGCTGGACCTCTCGAGCCTGACGGAGGGTACGGATAAAAGATTCGTGCTTCTGTCTCCAGTTGCTCTTCCGAGGAGGTTCAGCCTATAACATAGAAGACTGATCATTCAACTTGGCATTTACCTCATCTCCTTTCCCAAGCCTCCGTCAGAATGACAGTAAAGAAATAAAAAGGGAGTTAACCCACAAGTTCAAAGAGAACAGAAAAGGAGCAACAGTGATAACTGATTTGCCAGAATGGAGGCACTTAGGGCCCGCAAAAGGGGTTACCACTGAAAGGCCATTTTCCCCAGCAGAAGCCCTGAAAGGTTCAGTGCTTGGAAGTACCGGGTAGCGGAGAGGGAGGGAAGTGCAGGGCTGAAAACAAGCTCCTCTCCCATCCTGCACACCCAAGTGTCAGACACCCCCCCACAGTGCCGTCACAGGGGTTTATCCTGTGGAGAAACTGAACGTGACAGGTTTCAGACTCAGGAAATCCAGACACAGTGGAGAACAGAATTAATCTTGGGGCTGAAAATGAGGATTAAGTGAAAGTTGAATTGTGGGACTCAGCCTTCTTCCCCACCCAGCTCCCAGAGTACCAAACACATCAGCACCCTCTTAGGAGATTGAAGGGCTCCTCTCTCGGTGCACTGTGCTGTCCAGAGAAAAGCCTTCAGACACTGACTCTAGAGGACCCCAGTTAAAAGGCTCACGATTTGATAAACCTAGTACGAAAGCCCCTAGTCAACAAGCCCCACCCAAGCTTAAATATGAATGGATAACCAAGGTGCAGTGGTTAAGAGCTCGGATGTTAACCAAAAGGTCGGCAGTTCGAATCTACCAGCCACTCCTTGGAAACGCTATGGGGCAGTTCTCCTCTGTCCTGTAGGGTTGCTATGAGTTGGTATTGACTCAACAGCAATGAGTTTTAAGCCAAGGATCACCAGATATTAAAAAAAAAACTCTAACAAGAAGGATACCAAAACAAGTGCAAACAAGCAGAACGGAAACAAGCTCAGGAAGCAGCAACCAAGGCAGGTAGCAGGAAAAAAAAAAAAAATTTTTTTTTTTTTGCAAAAATCATATTAAGAAAGGAGTGTAAGAGATTGTGTCCATAAAACAACAAGAGTGTACTACTAAAAAAAAGAACAACCAGAGAACCAGAGAAGACTATTAGAAGTTCAAAATTTCATAACTAGAAAAACTAAATAGAAATGTAAAATAATGTCAAGAAAACTTCACAGAGTGTGATAAAAGATCGAGATGGAAAGTAGAAAAGATTAGAAACTTAGAAAATCAATCCAGAAAGTCTAACATCTGATCAACAGGAGTCCCCCCAAAAAACAGGGAAGGCATAGGGATAAAATTATTAAAGAAATAATACAATTAAAATTCCTAGAATTCAAAGTCACAAGTCTTGAAATTAAAACAACCTACTAAGTATCCAATACAATCATTGTAAAATTTCAGAATAAAGAGAGGATCCTATAAGCTTCCAGAGAAAAATAATAATGGGTTTCATATAATGAAACAAAATGTCACCAGATTCTCAACAGCAACAGTGAGTGCTAAAAGCTAGTGAGAAAATGCCTTAAAAGTTCTAACAGAAAATCATTTTCCACTTAGAATTCTATACCCAGTCAAATCATCAATCAAATGTGAGGCTATTAGATAGGTATTTTCATTAATGTAAAGACAAAAAATATACCTCTCATGCACCTTTCTTAGTAAACTTCAGCAAAACAAGGAGTGAGTCAAGAAAAAGGAAGACATAGGATCATGGAAAGAGGGGACCCAACACAGAAGAGAACCAAAGAGAAGTCCCAGGACAACAGGTCAGTACCAGGCCTAGAATATAACCAGCCCAGACTGGAGCAGGAGGAAAAGAGCAGTGGGAAGGAGGTTTCCAGGATAAAAAAATTAAATGGATACATTATGGGAGTTTCTGAGCATTTAAAAAAATATTAACAGGTATGTGACATCAGATGGATCATTTAGGAAAAAAAAAAATATTAGAGCTAAGTATGTAGAAACCAAACAAATGAAAACATGTATCAATGATTAACTTCAGGTGCACATGGGCAGGGCAGAATTAGTTCACTGATCAGTGAACAAAATGTACATCGTCATTATTATATGAAAGCTGACTACTAATTGAACCCAGAAGTTCACACACAAGTGATTTCGTGATTGAACCACAAAAGTGTGATTCAATGACAGTGGAAGGAGAAAAGCAGGAGAGAGGGGATATGAAAGAGAGCTTATTAACACAGCTTTCATAATAGGAAGTCAACAGATAATGTGCAGAATTGATAAGTCAGGAAAATAAGCCTATTATTTCAAAATAATGGAGATGTATATCAGAAGAACCCTCTAACAGAACTAAAGGCTGCCTCTAGAGGCTGGAGAGGGATGAGGCCGAATACTGCTGTTTTGCATTAACCCGTTGCCCTCGAGTCGATTCCGACTCATAGCGACCCTATAGGACAAAGTAGAGCTGCCCCCTAGGGTTTCCAAGGAGCGGCTAATGGATTCGAACTGTCAACATTTTGGTTAGCAGCCGTAGCTCTTAACCACTGCACCAGCAGGGCATTTTAGGTCACTTATTACTATGTGATTTTTAAAACTGCATCCATATATCATTTTGATTAAAATAAAATTAATTCTAAAAAGAAAGAAGACAAATAGCTGCTTGGTGCTTGGACATTATTAGTGATGAAAAATATGAAGAGATGTTATTAAAAGAAAAGGAAGGATCCATCAGGAGAGTTTCTTACTGAAACAGACAAGGCAAGAGAATCAGTGTAAAAGATGGCATGCAGGAACCTTTAAAAGAATAGAATTTGGGCAGGTTCCTCAAAGGTGATATCTATAATTCTTTATTGCCTAAGAACTTTATTCAATTAACATTTATTGAGCACTAAGCTCTGTGCAAAATACAAAGATGGGTAAGATGTGGTCACTACCCTCAAATGCACACAGTCCAGTATGTGAAGATTAAAGGATACAAGGAAAATCACCTGTTCGTGTGAGTACACTAGAGGAATGACAAGGAGACATACTCAGCGTCCAGAAGCAGAAAACTATGGAAAGATGGGACATTCAAAGAAGAGGGGTGCATCTCAGTCCAGCTCCTTTCTGCCTTGGTGTCCTTAATGCAGCACCTTGCCCCAAACTAGTTTCCACAAAGGTAGGAAGTGTCTGATCTCAGAATCCCAATTCTTTTCCTTCATTGCTACTGTGTTTAGGAATTTAAGATACACAAAATGCTTTTAAGGTCCTGGCCAAAAATAAACCCCTATAGTGGGACACTACCATCAGTCTGTCACTGTGGTAGCTTGCATGTTGCTGTGATGCTGGAAGCTATGCCACCAATATTTCAAACACCAGCAGGGTCACCCATGGTGGAGCTTCCAGAATAAGACTTGGAAGAAAAGCCTGGCGATCTACTTCCAAAAATGAGCCAATGAAAACCTTATGGATCATAACAGAATACTGTTTGACAGAGTGCCGGAAGATGAGCCCCCTAAGTTGGAAGCAGGGGTTCAAACCAGTTCAAACCCCTGCTAAGAATTTGCATTTCCACCTCAGATATACCAAATCAGAATCTATAGTTTAACAAGATCCCCAGGTGATCCTTATGTATAATAAATTTTGAGAACCACTGCTGTACTAGTGGTTCTCAGAATTGATCCCTAACCAGGCAAAGGATATGAACAGGCATTTCACCAAAGACATTCAGGTGGCTAACAGACACGTGAAGAAATGCTCATGATCATTAGCCATTAGAGAAATGCAATCAAAACTACAATGAGATACCATCTCACCCCAACAAGGCTAGCATTAATCTAAAAAACACAGTAAATGTTGGAGAGGTTGTGGAGAGACTGGAACACTTATACACTGTTGGTGGGAATGTAAAATGGTACAACCTCTTTGAAAATTGATTTGGCACTTCCTTAAAAAGAAGTAGAAGTACCATACGATCCAGCAATCCCACTCCTTGGAATATATCCTAGAGAAATAAGAGCCACCACACGAATAGATATATGCACACCCATGTTCACTGTAGCACTGTTCACGATAGCAAAAAGATGGAAACAACCTAGGTGCCCATCAACAGATGAATGGATAAATTATGGTATATCCACACAATGGAATACTATGCAATGAAAAAGAACAACAATGAAGCCATGAAACATAACATGGAGGAATCTGGAAGGCATTATGTTGAGTGAATTTAGTCAGTCACAAAAGGACAAATACTATGTAAGACCACTATTTAAAAGAACTCAAGAAAAGGTTTAAACAGAAGAAAATGATCTTTGATGGTTACGAGGGTGGGGAGGGAGGGAGAGGGTTATTCACTAACTAGATAGTAGACAAGAATTATCTTAGGTGAAGGGAAGGACAGCACACACTACAGGGCAAGTCAGCACAACTGGACTAAACCAAAGCTAAGAAGTTTCTTGAATACAACCAAACACTTCGAGGGACAGAGCAGCAGGGGTGGGGGTCTGGGGACCATGCTTCCAGGGGACATGTAGGTCAATTGGCATAACAAAGTTTATTAAGAAAATGTTCTGTGAGTGGCGTCTGAGGTCTTAAAAGCTAGCAAGCGGCTATCTAAGATGCATCAGTTTGTCCCAGCCCACCTGGAGTAAAGGAGAATGAAGAACACTAAAGTCACAAAGAAAAGTATTAGCCCAAGAGACAGACAGGGCCATATAAACCAGAGACTTCATCAGCCTAAGACGAGAAGAACTAGATGGTGCCTGGCTACCACCAATGACTGCCCCGACAGGGAGCACAACAGAGAGTCCCTGATGGAACAGGAGAAAAGTGGAGTGCAGAACTCAAATTCTAGTAAGAAGACCAGACTTAATGGTCTGACAGAGACTGGAGGAGCCCCAGAGAGCATGGCCCCCGGACTCCCTGTCAACCCAGAACTAAAACCATTCCCAAGGCCAACTCTTCAGACAAAGATTAGACTGGACTATGGGACATAAAATGATACTTGTGAAGAGTGTGCTTCTTAGCTCAAGTAGATAC